CGGTGTCAGAATGCCTTTTTTTTCCAGCCTCTCCGTTTTTGCGAGTGAGTGAGTGAGTGAGTGTGATTCCTCTGCCCCCTTTGCCACTTGTCAGCTGGCGTTTGCTTTCCTCTTGCTCCTATATGGACTCGCCACCGGCTGCGGTGAGAAGGCGCAGTGGTGTGTCCTCTTCGTGTGCTCCGAACCCACATGCACTGCTCTGCAGACGGCTGCCGTGTCTAGGCTGCTGCTGTGTTGATGATCTCTGGCTGTGTTTTGCGGCTCCTGCTTTGCGGTATCGAAGATAGCATTCTTTTTTTTTGTGTGTGTTTTTGGTTCATCCTCCTCCGCTGCTGTTGTGCGGCGGCCAGGGAGGGAGCCGGAGAGGAGGCGGCAGTGTGGTGGTGGTGCTGGCAGGTGGGGACGGAGGTGAGAGGGCCGGGTCCAGTCGGGGATGAACAGAGCACCGAAGAAACGAGGCCTTTCGGTCGAAGAGAAGGTCTCGCGGGTTGAGGAGCGGTTCTTCTCTCACCCCACGCCATACACACTGAAGGAGCTGCTGGTGGTGCTGCCGAAGGTGACGGGCGTCATTTTGCAGTCGATCGAGGAATGCTTGGAACTCCTCGTCTCTGAGAACCGCATCAGCCAGAAGAAGATCGGCGTCCACGTCCTCTTTTGGTGGTTTCCCAAGACAGCGGCGCAGCAGTTGGCCGCGGCGTTCAACGCCAGCGGTAGTGGCGGGGCGGTGGCCGCAGCCAAACACATGAGTATGGGATATGGGATGGGGCTGCCGCAGCTGCAGAAGGAAGTGCACGCGTTGGGGGTGCAGGAGGCGGAAGCGCGTCGTCGCGTGGAGGACGTGTGTACAGGAATCGGCGATGCCGCATCCGTACGGCGCGACTCTGCGAAGATGCGGCAGTTGCAGGAAGAAGTCAAGGCACTGCGGGCGGAGCTGGAAAAGCTGGCGGTGTTTGACCCAGTCATGATTGAGAGGGTGAGGGCCACCACAGAAGTGGCGTGGGAGGCGGCCAACAGGTGGACAGACAACATGCGTCTCCTGGAACGCCACATCTCGCAGCGCATGGGATTAACTCCACGAGAGCTGCGGCTGCCTGAGGACGTTGACTATATCGAATTCGAGGATCTGGTGCGCGAGAAAAACGATAAGTCAAAGGCGGTCCCGGCAACTTCCGAGGGGGCGTCTTCGTCACCCCTGCGAGGCGCAGAAGGAGGCATTGGGGGTGAGATGGGCGTCCCACCGCCATCGCCGGCGGCAGAAGCAACGGATACGTCTGCGGCACCTGGCACACGCAGCGCCCAAGAGCGGGTCAAGCGTGGCCGGGGAGACGGCGTGGCGGCGGCGACAGAAGGCCAAACAGGGGCAGTGAAGCGTCCACGAACAGAAGCCAAGAAGGACGTAGTGGGGCACACGGCCGCTCGCTGTGGGAAGAAAAAGAAGGTGTTGCAGAGGTGTGCGCCACGGGCCAGCGGCCTCTCATATATCACACCGCGCTTGCAATGCGTGCAGGTGTGCGTAGGGAGCGTATCCAACAGGGGAAAGAGACTGCCAGCCGGCGCAGTTTTGCTCTCCCTCCCCCGAGGCAAAGCACGAATGTGGTAAACTGCCTGTTTTTTTCAAGCAGACTAACACTTCTCCACCTCTACGTCTCGGGCTCGACGCTTTTACAGGCCTAAACCTTGCCCTTCATGTGGCTTGCCTTGCTCGCTTCGGTGCATCTGAGTGTGCTTTGATGGAGAGAGAGAGCCTATTGTGTATCCCCACCGGTGCTTTTGCTGCACTGCGCGGATTGTGTCGTTTGTGCCGGCGCATGCCGCCACTGCGGTTCTGGCTCCTGTTGGCCAATTCATTTTA